TCCTAGCAGCAGGAATAGTGAAGGTGAATAGTCATCTTAAGTCTGCTTTTACATTCTCCAAAGAGTAATCAGAATATATTAGGTTTACCTTAAATTATAATTATCATTTTAAATAATGAAAGAAATGACAACTTATGAATGTGCATTATAACTTTATATCTTTTTGTTTTTATTTTTCATAGCTGTATTGAGGTATAATTTACATACATCATAAAGTTCACCCCTGTAAGCATTCATTCAGTTTGACGATTTCAAACTATCACCATAGTCCAAGGTTAGAACATTTGCATCACCCCAGAGACTTCCTGTATGCCCATCTTTAATCTGTGTTCTTTTCTTTCTCCTGCTCTAAGAGTTGATCTCTTCATTTCATATCTGAATGGAATAATACAATGTTTGTGTTTTTTGTATCTAGCTACTTCCACTAAGCATAAAGTTTCTGAGATTCATCTTTTTTTTTTTTGAGGCAGAGTCTCACCATGTTGCCCTTGGTAGAGTGCTGTGGCATCACAGCTCACAGCAGCCTCAAACTCTTGGACTTAAGCGATTCTCTTGCCTCAGCCTCTCAAGTAGCTGGGATTACAGGTGCCAGTTACGAGGCCCGGCTGTTTTTAGTTGCAGTTGTCATAGTTGTTTTAGCAGGTCTGGGCCGAGTTTAAACCTGCCAGCCTCTGTGTATGTGGCCTGTGCTGTAACCACTGTGCTAAAGGTGCCGAGCCAGATTCATCTTTATTAAATGAATTATTAGTTGTTTTTTTTTTTTGTGGTTAACCACTTTATGCTTATTCTCAGTTGATCAGTATTTGTGTTGTTTATAGATTATTAATGTGCATTAAGAGAGCAAAGAGCAAAAAACACATGATTATCTCAATAGACACAGAAAAAGAATTTGAAAAAGTCCAACGCATTAGTGATTACAGCAAAACAAATTCAAAAACAAGCTGTAGAAGAGAATGAAAAACTTATACCTGTCATAATTAATAGTGAGAAACTGTTTTCTTCCTAAAATCTGGGGACAAAGCATAGATATCTGCTCTAACCACTTCTGTTCAACATTGGACTGGAAGTTCTAGGCATATTTTTTCTTATTGTAATATTTATACAATTTATTTCAGAGCATGTGGAAAATATTAAGGGGAAACTTCCAAACTCCTTTTCCTACCATGGAGGAAAAATGTCGGGTTGATGTTGTAATCTCCTTTCTTTCAGTATTATGTGTGCAGAGTAACATATTTTTGACAAAAAACAAATTGGAGACCATATTTTCTGCTCATTACTCTGACCTCATTTCTGCGTATTTTCTTTCTTGCTCATTACTGCCTGCTCTGATGATCTTCCCGTTCTGGAGCAGACAATTCCTTTTTTGGCATCATGGTCTTTGCCTCTGCTATTTCTTCGGTTGGAAATTCACTTCATTATTTGTCTGACTAGGGCCTTCAGGTTGTTTAGATATCAACTTAAGTATCATTGCCTCAGAAAAGTATCTTCCTTATTACTTTAGGTAAAAAGCTTCCCGTACACCTCTGGCTGAACTCCTCAGTTATTTTAATTTTCTGTTTTTCTTGTTTGTGCCTCTTTCCCCTGAGGTCTGTGTCTGTCTTATTCCTGTTGTAATTACAATACTTAGCATAGTGCCGAGCCTTCTGACTGTGTGACAGTTTGTTCAAGGCAAATCAATAGTATCTGGCTTTCTTAGCATTATGTTCTGATAATTTTCCCATGTCATTATTCTTTGAAAACATACATTTTAATAATGGTAATATTCTCCAATACAGTTATGATAAAGTTACTCTTGATTTGTATGATATGTTTCCTGTCATGATGTTTCATCCATTGGTTTGGATGTAAGGCTGATTTACTCATTCATTAGTAAAAGAAAACATATAAATATTAAACAGTTAGAGTAGTTTATGCTATAAACTTTTGTTAATTGTTATTACTTAAATATTCTTCAAATTTATCTTACATGTAGTCATATATTTATCTCGAAAAGGATACAGTAATGCTTTAGCAGAGACCAACCATTAAACATAAATAATTCTAGGTAGGAATGTGGCAAACTCTGAGCTTGGAATATTTTTTAATTCCTTACATGGAAAATGTAGACTCATGAACTTTATATCCTAATGCTAAGTGTAGATGGGTGGGTAGAGAAAAGTTAATATTTATGTTCCAAATAACTGCCAAGGCCTTGTCTTTTTTCAAGTAAAATAAACCAGCATTTGAATTGCACTTCAGCCTCTTATTAGCTTTGTGATTTGGGGTGACTTAAACTCAGTTTCCCTACCTATAAAATGAGAGTAATAATAATCACCTTATAGGGTTCTTTTAATTATTACATGTATATAGGTGGCTTGAAACATAGTGACAGCTCAGTAAACCATTGCTGTCATTACCTGGTAAGAGCTGCTCAGTCCTGGGGTGCCAAGAATAGGCACTGGAAGCATTCCTTATCCTGCCAGGCATCATCATTAGATACTGACCAGCTCATTAATAGAATTTGTCCAGTGATATTTACTTCTATACTTGCCAGGAGATGGTAGTTTTCTTCATAGAACATGCCTGTTTGTGGACTATTTCTTGTCTGCACCTATGTCAGAAAAAAATAAAAATTTAATCTGAAAGGTACAGGTAGTTATTTTAAAGTTTCATCAAGTTATGTCTTTTGACAGTAATTTATTGTTACTATTGGTAACATTCTAATATGTAATTATGGCAGTTCTTTGGAACGTAAATACTAACTTCTCTCTACCCACCCATCTACACTTAGTACTAGGAAATGAGATTCATGAATCTACATTTCCCATGTAAAGAATTAAACTTTCTTATTCCAACTTTAATAATTTTTTTTTTAAGAAAGGAAGAAATGTAACTGAAAATTGAACAATTAAATTCTACTAGAAATTCAGAACTTTGGTAGATAACTTTGACAAGGGAGCAGATGGGCTGGCCTTGGGTATAGCTTCTGAAATTGAGAACTGGGGAGTTAGGAAGTGCCCAAAGTGCCTGCCATATTCTAATACAAGTACTAATGATTATAAATGCAGGTTATTTTTAATGTTGCCATCAGGAGAAATGATTGCTGCTTCTCTTAGAATTCCTATGAGAATTTATAGTCCAGCTCCGTTGCAGTCTACCCTCTGTAATCTGGGGCATGTCAGGTAAACACCCTGCTCAGTGTCTGTTGCCCTCTGTAAAGTGGGGTGATGCCTGCTCTGCTTGTTTCACAGAGTTAGTAAAATCCAGTAAGGTCATGTCCGTGAAAAAGCTTTGTAACTGCTAAAGCATGTAGCTTACTTAATGACCGCTCCCATTCAACCTGTCAGACCTGCCTCTTTTTCACAGATATTTGGTAGGTCCCTAGTGAGGGTGGAAGGATAGCCCAGAACTACATCTGTAATGTGTGGCAGCCTCTCAGGACTATGAGTTTTGTTCTTGTACTAAGAGTGGACAGTTTTAGACTGTAGCTATTTTCACCCCTTAGTTTGTTTCGTTGGTTAGAAAAGTTCTGTGTACAAGTGGGCAGCTCCTGTAGCTCAAGGAGTAGGGCGCCGGCCCTGTATACTAGAGGTGGCAGGTTCAAACCCAGCTCCAGCTAAAAACTGCAAAAAAAAAAAAGTTCTATCTGCAAGGTGATGGTAGAGAAATTAGAAAATATAAATCAGTAAGAAGAAACATAATAATTACCTATAAGTGCAGAATTACTACATTCATTTTTATTTTAAAACAAAAATTCATTTATAATGAACATGTCATTTTCTGTTTTTTTTCACTTTATGTATATAATATTGTGTATCATTTCATATAATTTAATTTTCTTGTATAATATTTTAGCAGCCACATAGTATTCCATGATAAGCCATAATTTATTTAAAACCAGTTCCAATTTTTTTATTTTGATATTTAATGACTATTTCAGGTTTTTGCTAGTAGAAATAGTGTATATTATGAACAACCGTGTGGCTAAATATTTGTACATAGCCTCCATATTTTTTTTCACTAGGAAAGTCTTAGGTGTGGAATTGCATATAACATTTTAAGGCATTTATGTTTTCTTTTTTTATAACTTTATCGAGGTGAGGTATAATTGATATGTAATAAACTGCACATATTTAAAGTGTACAATTTAATAATTTTTGACATATATGCACATTCACGAAACCATTAGTAGTAAGATACCCCCTTTGTAATCCTTCCCTTCACCATCCTGCCTCCTTCATCACAGGCAACCCTAGTGATCTGTTTTCTTTCACAGTAGATTAATTTACATTTTCTAGAATTCTATGCAAATAAAATAACACATGATGTATTTCCTTTTGTGTGCCTTCTTGCATTCAGGATAATTATTTTGGGATTCACCCATGTTTATTATTATTATATATCTATCAATAGTGTATTTTATTTAATTGCTGAATTTTAAAATTATGTTGTGTGGATCTACCGTGTAATTTATTTACCTAGTAATGGACATTTGAGTTATTTCCATTTTTTGGTTAAAAATAAATCTACTTAGACTACTGGTATACAAATCTTTGTATAGATATAAGGCATTAGATATTTACTACCAAATTTTATGCTGGGAAGGTTATACATTTGGTATTTTAAAACCAAAAAAGTTTGATATGAGAGAGATTATAGTTACTATTTTCTTAAAATTTTTATATATAACTTAATTGAATTAGTTTGACAGGATACTCTTAAGAAATTTGAAATTAACAGAGGTTAATAAACCATCCTAACAGCTATAAACCTTTTTACATTTCTTTTTGTTGAAATCTTTTCTTTTATCAATTAAGTAAATATATTGTCCGGAAAGCAAGCATCTTTTGCTTTCCTTTAGTGAACTAATATTCATAAACAATTTATGTTTCCCTGTCAAATGACTACTTTCATATAGAACATTAATAAGAAGAGGTAGTGGGGTGAGTTTACTGAACTACACAAAACGTGTTCCAGAATCCAGGAATAGATGCCAAACTGTCTTTTTCCCTCTTCTTAAGATACACTACTTGACTGAAGGAGGACGGAGAATCTGAAGACTCCGGGTGACATCAAAGCTACTTTCCAACAGCTTCTCAATTTCCTTTCTCAGAAAGCAGAAGCTCAAACCTTGGAGACAGACGGTGAGAATGTTTTTCCTTTCTTAAGGCTTAATCATAGTGACTTTCATATATTTCAGACAATTCTTTCTCAGTTATAAATTAGCTTATGGTTACAAACCTGTATTATGTGCTTTTTCTGTGCAGATTCTTTCATGAGACAGTGTGGTTTAAAAATGAATAAGATGCAATCCCACTTTTAAGGGACTTACAGGGAAAGAATAAATATGGATAATAAATGTAATCAAATAGTAAATGAGGTTAAGTGGTACAAGAAAAAAAACACAAAAGATAGCCTTGAGAATTCAGTTTATCGATTACACTGGTGAGAAAAAATGGGAAGCTTAAAGGAAGAAATGGTGTTTATGTTGATGATACTAAATTTGTTTTTACCAAAACCCAGAGAAAGTGGACAGTTAATACAAAACCTGAAATAGCAATCTAATTTCAGATAAAAAGTTAATTACTGTTTTAAGACAAAATAGAAGCACGTGTGATTATTATGGTTTTATTATAGTATAAGGATCAGTAATTACTTTTGGAATTATATAAAATTTCTCTTCCAAGCCAGAGTATATTAGCATTTCTGAGAAATGATAAAATAATTGGATTAAATTAACACAAGTAGGTGGGCAGTGCAACAAAAGAGATAAGTGAGTGGTTAATTCTACTTGGATTAACACTCCTGTTTTCTAGTTTAGCTACAGCCTAAATGAATTTGTCATGTCTTAAGCTCTTGGACCTTTTGCTACTTACTTCTGGGCAGAAGCAATCCAAGTAATTTAGAAAAAGGTACAGTGATTATGATTGTACTTATAATTAATTGTGAAGAGTTCGCTTTCAGCTAGCTAACTGAAAAACTGTGATCATGAGAGAGATAAGCAGATAGAGTATTTTAAAATATTTTAATTGACCACCATGTTTCAAAAAGGGGATGGTAGCTTTGAGCCAAATTTGGTTTGTTACCTATAGGTATAATATAGTTGTCAGTGATGATACTCTTTTGTCTTCATTATTCAGAAAACCTAATGATGAAGTTTTTGATTGCCAATTAAATTCTTATCTTTTCTTGTAGTTTAATCAAGACAATCTTTAATAAAAGATTGTATAAAATTATTAGTAATTATTTGGTTGCTAGTCATTTTTTACATAGTCATGTATTTTTTTCCTCTAAATTGGAATTTAAAATCAACAAAAGTTTTATTTATAAATAATACAAATTCTTTCATTCAGGTAGTTATGTGTTAATGACTGGGTACCTTTTATATTTGACAAAGCACACTTGATATTATTTGTTTTAATTCTGTTTCTCAACTTTCAGTTGTGTTAAAATCAGCATTATAATCATGCATATTCCTGTGACACCCAGGATATACTTAGTTTGTTGATGTTCTTAATTTGTCAATACCTTTATTTTACCCAATAACCAGAATTGTAGGCAGCAATCACTATGTCAGTTGAATAAATAAATCAGATAGCCCTCAGATAAGTATACCTCAGCAGTGACTTTTTAAAAAATGCTCATATTTTATCTTTCTTCCAAAATAAAAGAGATGATTTAGAATTTATAATACGCAACTTTAGAAACTAAAACTTCATATCAATGAATTATTAGTGATTTTCTATTTTCTTACACATATTCAAAAATGTTAAAAGTGATGATATCAGGAGTATGTTTTCTAAAATATGTTTTGTTAAATCATTCTTTGTTTTGAATGAGGATCCCATGGTCAAGTATGCTTGGGACTTGTTGGGTCAAAGTGTATAATGTCTTTTTAGAAAATCTCTCATCAACCAGCAGACTATGTCTCCAAATGCAGGATCTAGTGTATATCTCAGGATTCTAGTATTTGGCAAGTTGATGACGCTGAGATAGTGTAATTTATGAGGTCTTACAATAATTTGCCGTATAGCTACTCTATAAAAATGTTTCCTGTTGTATTTTTAAGTATAATAATGTTGATTGGGTAGATTGGGAACAAAAAGGAATTGAATTAACGGAATATTGCAAACCACACAAAACAGGAAGTGTTTTTTTGTAAAACTTTTTAGAGTCTTAGGCCAGATTTCTCTTTCTCTTTCATGGATTCCCCCTCTTGGAAAAAACACAGTCATTCCCCCTGTAGTAAAGAACCGAACACGTTCACCCTTTATTCCATTTTTATAGGACTTCACATACTTTCTGTGCTCTGTTTATGTCAGTGTGTAACATTCATTAGTTAATTTTGATAAAAGATGATATAAAAACAGTGACTATTTCCTGTATTAATCAGTGAAGGTGTTATTAAAGATTCTGTTGCATTTATTACTTGGTTTCAAGTCATGGTACACTTTTAAAAACTAATATTGAGCTTGCTAAATCTGAATGAACTAGACTTGTACATAAATTTAAGATTTGTGCAGCTAATCAACCTAAAAAGTACTAGCAGTAAAGATATATTGGGTAACAGAAAAAAAAAATAGTGAATATGTTGGGTAGAATTAAATAATTGACCATAAGTCAATGTAGCTTAAACATTGGAACATACTAACATTCCCACTAGTGGAATTTTTATTGTGATATGTCATGGTTTTTCACTGGGGATACTTCCTTATTGCACTTGTTTTCTAGTTTGATTAGTTTGATTACATTGTTGGTGACTATTTCAGTACATGTCTTGAGTGTTAAAGCTTTCCTGTTGGACATAGAGAGCGATATATTAAACTGGTCAGTGATCTAGCTGGTTCTCACAGGCTGGGATACCAAGTTGGAAAAGCAGGTGAATTGTAGTGTTTTTTGTTTAAGAAATAGCACTTTGTAAAAAGCGTTTAAACTTATACACCAGCTTTTCAAAGGAAATGTGGTACCAGTGAAACCTAGGTCAGTCCACAGTCTGCTGAGTTATTTTAGTTAGAATCGATTGCCATAAACCAGTTTGACAGTCTCACTGGTGTTTCCCTGGCCTCATGGACAACCCTGGTAAGAAAATCTGGATGCTGAGCCGCGCCGGTGGCTCAGAGGAGTAGGGCGCTGGCCCCATATACCGGAGATGACAAGTTCAAGCCCAGTCCTGGCCAAAAAGTACAACAAAAAAGAAAAAAGAAAATCTGGGTGCTCACCTCAGACATAGCATTGTAAGTTTCCAACATCACCGTCCAGCTTTAATTCTCCCTCTCACAGCCAGCCGTCGAGGGCAGAGCCTTATTCTGCCCAGCCTCCTTACTGACATCCTTCCCCGTTCTCTCAGAGCCACCAGAACCTCCTATAACTCCAGTTTGTTTGTTTTGACTTCTCTAATCAAAAATACTTTAGCAATTCCAGCAGTATAATGACCATAGAAAAGTAAGGCCTTTCTTAATCAATCCTAACCTGCTGTTACTATGGGAAACACTAAAATAATTAACATTTCTTCTGAATTTGATGTCTTTAAAGAATTGATTTTCCTTAAGTCTGTTACTTAATACCTTAACTGATAACTGACATCATTTTGGGAGGAAAATCCCCGGTATACAAAGCCTCCATATTGACTCATGTTTTGTTTTGTTTTTTTTCTCCTCCTTGAAAGATTTCAAATGGTGTAATTAAAATAATTTTAAAATGTGTTGATCAAATTGTTTCTTTTCTTCCATGGAGTTTGGTCTTTTTCAGTTGAATTAACAGGGCGGAACCTGCTATTCCCCTCGATTCTCTGCTGTACTTGCCCTGCAACAATGTGACCTGTCATTTGCACATCTGAAATGGGTGTGATTCTAACAGTAGAGCGTATGCATTTTATATAAAATTTCTCCATTCTGGATCAAAGATATACTAGTAATTTTTAAACCCTGTTTTCTTGTTTGCATTTGCTTGTGGAGACAGTGTTCCTGGTTCAGTCCATGCTTCTAGCTTGGAACTTCAACTCTGGCAATCGCCACCCTTTGCATCCCTCCTCCCCACCATGGTGCAGCCTGTCCTCTCAGCTGGTGCTTCTCAAAATATCTGTGATGAAAGACCAGCTCATGGGTGTGTGTGTGTGTATGTATTTTCATTTTATTTTTTTAGTGACTTGCTCTTACTGTATTTTTAAGAAGCATCTGTGTATAACAGACTGGAAATTTTTAAAAGACAACAAAATATAAATCCAAATCTTTCATGATTAAATTTAATGGACGTCAACTTACTTTGACACCTTCTATAAAAGTTTCTAACTATTGGCAACGTCTGCTCCTTGAGGAGAGTGAAGTTCCCAGAACATACTTTGTGCTGCTGTGCTCCCTTGTCTGGGCTGGCACCCCTACTCCCTGAAGAATGCTAAAGCTCCTTTTCCAATGGGCAAAGCCTGGGTTGTCCCTAGAGTTGCCTCCCACGCTACCTCTGTAGAGTGCCCCATCTCTCATTATTCTTCCCACACCTGTGTTTCAGTACTTTCTCCAACTCCATCATGTGTCACGTCGTCTCTCCACTAGTATCTCACTACATGTTAATGACATTTTTTCCTGACGAGATTGGCCCACTAAGGACTGGCTCATCACTTAGTTATCCTTCAGCTCTTAACACACAGCAGCTTCTTTATAAACACAGTAGGACATCTGTAAGTTGACCACTCCCAGGACTGTTAGCAAACTGGTCAGTATATGGAGGTGGTCAACACAAGGAACTAGGCTCTAGTACATGTGGTGCATGTCTGCTTCCTGAAAATTAGGCCAACATAAGGAGGTGGTCAGTGTAGGGGGGTGATCAGCTATGGAGGTTCCACTCTATTTATAGATTTGTTATGTTTTGTATGGTGAATTCAGAATCATGTAACTTCAGAGATGGGAGATTTTTTCATATCCTCCTTTGTTAACTTTCCTCCTTTGTTAATCTTTTCTCTTTTTTTGAGACAGAGTCTCACTTTGTCACCCTTGGTAGAGTGCCATGGCATCATAGCTCACAGCAACCTCAAACTTTTGGGCTTAAGCAATTCTCTGGCGTCAGCCTCCTAAGTAGCTGGGATTACAGGCACCCGCCCCAATGCCCGGCTATTTTTAGAGACAGAGTCTCACTCTGGCTCAGGCAGTCCACC